TCCCTATGTCCTTATTATCAGTGAGTTCACTACAGATGGAAAGCTTTGTTAATATGCATAGACATTATAATAATTGTGAAGACCCAGTCTGGCTAGGAGATTTGACAGAAATTTAGGGTGTAGTTTACAACTCTACCTCCCTATTATAGGTGAGTTTCCTGCTTCCCTACAGGACAGGAGCTTGTTGGATGGAGTCGAGGGTCATCTGCGTTGCAGCAACTATTGGTATATTCATGGCTCAGTTTGTGTCTAAAGTCATGATTCTATGGGGGGTGTTGAACTCCTAATTAAGGCTTGGACCCCCCCAAAAAGAGGCATAAAAACCAACAGTTCAGGGGGTCTTTCTTACCTGAAACTGTAACTATTACAATATATTTCCGATACTCATGCCTTATATTCCAGAATCTTGAAGTATGATTTCTGACACCCCTAAGATGTTGCTTCACTCGCAGCTGCAGTTGCCCCAGTCCAGTCCTCCACACGCTGGTGGAGACACTGTAAGTTAATGTCAGTTAGCTATCTAGCAATTCCCCAACATTGTATGACTACTGCTTAATTGAACGCAGATTACTTTTCCTTCACAGTCAACATGAGCAGGAGGGATGGAGATATTTGCCAAAAAAAAGTTGAAACTTAAAACTTGAAATGATAAAGATTAGGAATTAGATATGATAATGCAGACTGTATTTTATGATAGTGTCTTTGGTTCCGGTTCAACATTTTGTGGGTCTGTTTTGAGCAGTCATGATGGTCTGCTGTTGTGTGTCTGACTATCTGGCAGCTTTGGTGTAGAATAGTGACCTCTGACTACAAAAGTTGTGGTGTGGTATGGGGCACCCCTGAACTGGTGCAATGAATTTGATTTATCATCATCTACAGACACACATTAGTTAAATAAGCAAGGATATTGTAAGCACTGTAACATTTAAGTTCACTGAAGCCTGCTCCTGCTGGGTTTTCTTTTTGACCTGGGAAAAAAAAGTTGACCCCCCCCGGTTTCCACTGTATAATTCTCACCCTGTGTAAAGTTCCTCCTAAGTTCTTAGTAACTACTTGTTTAAGACTAATTTACTCATTCCAGACTAGCTAAAGACTTTTGTAAAGTATAAATTGTAGCGCTGTCCAATCAAAAGCAATAAACTATATAAACAGAAAGTCACTTTAGCATCATACACTGTACTCAACTCCAAATAACAGTTTGGGAGGCCGGACAACATATTAAATTTACCTGCCTTCTTTTAAGCTACTTTTAATTTTGAAGTGTTTCTACACTGTGGTTTTGATCTGTGGTAAGATCTGAGTAACCCTAATTTTATCCTTCTTCACCACAGAACCTAACAGACATTATTTTGTCATTCAGTAGGCTAATTATTTGCATTTCATTGACCAATACATAGAAATATTTAACAGAAGTGTATAACTGCTTACTTCAATTATGACATCACTATGGTTATGATAAATGTGTTTTCACTGTGGGAAATGTGGTCACTGAATTACTTGTATGAGTTGTATGAAATGAGTATAAACAGCAACAGATATTGTCTGTGTAAAGCAACAATGTGAAATGTGATCAGTCATCATTTAAGGCCTCCTGCCTGTTTAAATTAAGAAGTTTGTATGCTGAGTTGTTATTGAACAATATCATGAGATATATGAATACCTAACTCCTGCGTGATGTGGAGGTCGCTGTCATTTGGACTTTTCGCTTTTCTTACAATTCATGTAACATAAAGGACATAAGCATGAAGAAGGAAATAATGAAAAATATATTTGAGCATGTGAAGGTAGTTGGTGATGTTGGAAGATGACACACAAGGGCAGTCAGTCAGTCAGTGAGGGGATAATCCTTAGTCTTGCTTGTCCAATATTACGCTGTCTCACTGGATGTGTTTTCCTCTGTAGATGAAGGCAATTAAAACATCAGGGTCAGTGGAGTTATCATGACATTTCTGAGCACATCTCGTCCATGGTGGCTCAAAAGTTGAGACTGAAACTTACGTTTTGACGGTAAGCATCAGAAGCTGTTTGTTTTTGAAGCTGTATTAATTACAAATTTGTCTAAAGCAGTATTTGAGGGTATTAAGCTGATCCAGTTGCTATTTTATAAACGTAAAATACCTTTTCTCTTCTTACACATTTCTAGATGATGATTTGGTTTTGGCTGTGGCACATTTTCATGCCTCTTCTTGACAACCTATCTGCTCTACTGCTGGAACATGTATTGAAGTATACTGTCAAACCTTCTCTTCGTTTTGAGCATTGTAGCTCAATATAATTTCCGGTAATCCTGCTTCTGTTCGAGTTTTTGTTCGATGAAATTCAGGTGGCATCTCTGGAACCACTCTCAGATCTTTTATAAAATTTCAAGTTTATGTTGAGTATTAATGCAGCAAAATGTATCTACATTTTAAATTAAGGCTGCATCTATATCCTTCAGGACTGTCTGCATACATGCTCATAAATTATAGATTTAATGGTACACATAAAGGAATGTGATGATAACTAGAAAAAGATTCACAGATGCCAGGACGGAAGATTAACTCAGATTAGGATGCAGCACTTCAGCCTATACTCTCTAAAACTGCAAAAGGAAGCTGGCAGATCAGTATCTCGATTACAGGTGTCCATATCTTTGTTTCTTCAGGTCCTCGTCCTCTTTTCACTGTCTGCTCTGACAACAGGTTTGTCTACACACAAATTCTCTCTGTGTATCAAGCTACTTCCCATCTTGTGTTGTCAGGTGTCCGTAATTTTCTCCTATCCATGTCAAAGCACAGCTGCTGTTACCTGCTAAAGACATCTTTTCCATTCTAAAAGTTTGGCTTTACAGATGAGCTTAATTTTTATAAGCCTTCCTTCAGGATGTTGCTAGATTTGCATTTTCTTTTCTGCATAATTGGCAGATGGGTTTTATTTAGTAGAGAAATGCGCCTTCAGGCACAAGGTCCTCTTTTCTCAGCATGATGCCATGTGCATCATTAAAATGATTTTCTACTATCTGCATATTCTCAGCATCACCGCAGACACTGAGGAGGTCTTTTTTATTTCATTAGATACAAAATGGAAAAATGCTTTTTGTGGACAGGGTTAAGTGTGACAAAATGGGAGCAAAAATAAAATAGGCTGATTTATTTTCCAGATGAGCAGGTAATGAGAGCTAGGAAAAGGAGAAAGCTCATTTTTGGTAAGAGCTAAAAAACATGTTTCTGTATTAATGAAACTATACAAATTCCTACTACTAACTTTCCCCCTATCAATCAGCAACACTGATAATTGAAGGGAAATGGATACAGACAGTAACATGGTATAAGCAATAGAAGCTGTACTGTAAACTTTTATAATACATGTATAAAAACGCAAATTCAATATTATAATATAAAATAAAAAAAGCAAAAGGCATTATGAGCAAGAAAGTGCACAATGAATGGCACTTCATTTGTTTCCATTGTTTCTTGTGAATCACATGTTAATGTGTGTGTGTGTGTGTGTGTACCTGAGAGAGCAGAGAACAGAGAGAGCAAAACTAAATTAATGAAGCATCTCTTTGAATCTAAATACTTATCCTTAAACCCAGGCCTGATGGGGATTAATGGGCCTCCTCACTTTGTTCCAGGTCCTTGGGCTTTGAAAAGGATGTGAATACAAGCTGTGTGGATTGATGGGTTGCTGTTAGGGCTTCAGGTTCCTATCTTATCAGCTGAGCTGTAATTGATTTATGGAGAGCTGGTTTGAATCACAACAGGGATGTAAGTGTGCTGATTTAGCCACTTAACTCAAAAACAGGGCCACCGGGAGCAGGTTGCTCTGTTTGAGAGGAGAAAAAGAACACACATTAATCCAACTGCAATGCACTGTTAGTGCTTCTAATGTCTTCTGTGACATAAGGAGGATGCCTCTATTCAGTTTTTATCTGATACAGCTGTGTGATATTTATCTTCTTTCTTCTTTGCAGCCTAAATAAGGATGCTTGTTGTTGTAAGGACAACATAATTCACAGAATGAGGGCCCGGATCATTACACTTAACATATTAGCTTCAGCCTCACTGACAGACCAAGTCGGTGCTTCTGGTATAAGTAACCATGGCAACCAGCATCACCTACAGCAGGTTTTCCAGAAGCATCTAGTGTAGCAATGTCTTTATGGGTTGGCTTTCTTATCATTTCAACTTGTTAACATGTATGTACGTGTGTGTATGTATATTTAAATGTGTATCAATATTGGGAGTGTATATCTGTAGGCTTATTTTATTATTCTTTTCTCCATTTTCTTCTTCCAGTGTGATTTGAAAATATTCACTTGATAACATGGTTATTACTTTATTATCATTTTAATTGTATTATTTTGTTGCTGTCCAAGAGTTACAACTTGCACGATCTTAAAAACGTATTAAATCGTTTTTCCTTCTATGCCTTGAGCACAGAACTGGGCATTATCACCCTTGTAACATGTATTCATTATTTATGCTGGGGTGAAGGAGTTGAGTTCATATATTTTGTATATTTTTTTTTAATTTTTTCTGCCCGTTTGAGTTATTTCTAATGCCACCAACACCGTTCTGTTTATCCACTGACGTGTTGGTGTTTTGTTACTTGAGCAAATAGACACTAACTATAATAAATATTTTTTATTTAGCTTTCAGCATGTTACCTGAGCGTTAGTTACTTGAGCTCCAGACCCAATGGTGTGTGCGGCCTAAACCCTTGTTTCTCAGCCTCTGCACGTCTCCGCCTCGGATGAGCAGTTACGAGGCCAGTTCAGATGTGCGGTTCCACTGGTTGCTGTCCATGGTGCTGAACCCGTCGTCCTCATGTTAGATTGGGACCTGCCGGGGCGAGTAAGGACCTCACTTTTTGCACTTGCAAGTGATGGGACTGAACACCGGTGCCAAATCTTACTATGTGTCTTAAACATATGTTGTATTACAAAGCTTTTTTTTTTATTGGTGACTGGTTTGCGCATGCGAAGAGGCAAGCAGACACCACTTGCTAAAGCAAGTGACCGTGTCGAGAGCATCGATCGCTCTCAATGCGCACAGCAGGATATCCTCGTTTTTACATACACAATAAATCTGAACCTGGTAACATCGATTTCCAGGTTTTTATTCTCCATCACGCCTCTCTTGCTACGTTTCACGCAACAGGCTGCAACACCAATGTGGAGTCTATACACTGAAGAACAGTACCACCTGTAACTGTGCCTATCTGCTCCCGACTTTCATGCCGAGACCGAGGATGAAGAAACAAAACATCCGGACCCTGTCGCTCATCCTCTGCATGTTCTCCTACTTGCTGGTCGGCGCCGCGGTGTTTGACGCGCTGGAGTCCGAGTCGGAGAGCTCCCGCAGGCGCATCTTGGAGCAGAAGCGCAGCGAGATGAAGAAGAAGTACCGCTTCTCCGAGGATGACTACCGCGAAATTGAGCGAGTGGTGCTGCAAGCTGAGCCCCACCGCGCCGGGAGACAGTGGAAATTTGCTGGCTCTTTTTACTTTGCCATAACAGTCATCACCACCATTGGTAAGTTACTATAATGGTGGTTTCTATAATACTTCTATTTTTGGAGATGATCGATAATGTTTTACTGTGTTGTTGTAGTAAGAGTGGAGCATACCCTACCTGAATAAAACATATTAGGCTTGTTTAAATTACACACTGAGTGACTAATAGACAATCGGTCCATGTTTTACCATCCAAGCGTTTCTACAGAATGCCTCACAATGTTCTTCTCATTTCCATCTCTCTGCATTAAGGTTATGGACATGCAGCACCAGGCACAGATGCTGGAAAGGTCTTCTGCATGTTCTACGCTGTACTGGGCATTCCTCTCACTTTGGTCATGTTCCAGAGCCTGGGAGAAAGGATGAACACATTTGTCCGCTATCTCCTACATAAGACAAAGCAGTGCCTGGGCTTTCGACACACTGAGGTGTCAATGGAGAACATGGTCCTGGTGGGCTTCCTGTCCTGCATTGGAACACTGTGTGTCGGGGCTGCAGCCTTCTCCCACTTTGAGGGATGGAGCTTCTTCCATGCCTACTACTACTGCTTCATCACGCTCACCACTATTGGCTTTGGGGACTTTGTGGCCCTGCAGAAAAAGGAGGATCTCCAGGAGAAAACGCCCTATGTGGCGTTCAGCTTCATGTACATCCTGGTGGGGCTAACTGTTATTGGGGCCTTCCTGAACTTGGTGGTACTTCGCTTCCTCACCATGAACACTGAGGATGAACGGAGAGATGCTCAAGAGAGGGCATCACTGAAGAGGGACAGAGGCTTTTTGGATGGGGCTCTGGGCCTCCATGTTGTAGGTGAACAGAGCAGAGACATCCACAGAGAGAGGAACAGGAGCAATGTTCCACACGGTCGCAGCCACAGTGCGCTCTTCCTCCCAATGGAGGAAGGAACCAGCCGCACCAACCTCATCTCTTCCCCAGCAGAGGATCAGGAGAGACAAAGAAGCCCTGGCAGACACAGGCTGCATTTTCAGATCAAGGCAGGCAGACGCAGGCCAGAGTCGAGCCTCAGCTCCCTCTGTTCCTGTGTGTGCTACCGCTTGGGGATTTGTGACAGTCCTCTTATGTCCCACAGTGAACACCATGGCTGCCATGTCAATTCTGTTTACTACAACTCAGTCTCCTATAAGATCGAGGGCTGCTTGCCAGGTTCCAGGGACAACACTGGATTCTCTTCCCCAGGCAGCACGCTCTCACCTGGGCATAACTTCCGGGAGTTCCCTCGTTCAAGGAGAAAGTCTGTGTAAGGAACATTAAAGTGAAGGAGAGTGTACACCTATTTTGTGCATGTCAGAAGACACTGATTCTGTTAAACAAATAAGTTGTCTGTTGTGGCTATTGAAATTATTATTTTTTTTGCTAAGCAAGGATGAGATTTTTTATCCTCTTTTACCATGGCATTATTTATGTTAGTGATTCTGCTGTTTTCCTTGCATGTAAGCCAAAGTGCAGTGCATGCTAAAGAGAATGTGTAGCACCCAATGTGAATGCATGAGTGCTATGTAAAGATGTAAACATTTGGGCTTTTAGTCTACAATTTTAACAACTTATATATTTATTAATGACTGTATACCTGTTCAGTGAAGGTATGTGAATGATCCTCTGTGGACTCTGCTCCTGCTTTAGACAAAACACAAACCTTTTCATGCCACAGCTAGAAGATGTCATCATACTTTTATATTTACAAAGCCTTAAATAACTTTGACCAAGCACATGAGACATGTGGCTTCTTGGCTCAGTGAATTTAATAAATCCTTTTATTACTTATTATCAGGAGGGAAGGGGGTCAGATTTGTTCATTGTTCAGCACTAATGCACTCTAGTATAAAGAGATTATGATTGTCACAGCAGTTATTCAAATTTAATTGATGTAGCACACAACAGATATGTAGCAGGTCACTAGTAAACTTCCCACAATCCTGAAAGAGTTGTCACTTTCCAGCCAGGGAGGTGTTGTTTCTTGTTGGATTTTTAGTCAGATTCAGTGTGAGTCTATTACAGTATTGTTTTATTAAAAACCAAAGAAAAGTATAATTGTGTGCTTGTTGTATTTTTTTTATCAGGTTTTGCTGTGATTGAGCAACATTTGTATGAGGTTGTCAAGCTTTTGTGGTCAGTTGTTTTCCTCTGTTCTTGCGTTTTTATCTCCAGGGACCCCTTTACACTTGGCAGAACAATAGGACTGATACAATGATACAGAGGAAAAGGGTGCCAGAATGGGGTTAATAATGCTACTTTTAGTTATATTGTGGAAGGAATTATGATTATTAACTGACTAATGAAAAACTCAGTAAGCATTGATTTGGTTATTTGCAAAATCGTCAAAGGACTTGAAGATGTGGATGTTGAAATGGGCTAAATCTGGTTAAAAAGTGGAATTTGTTGTTTGTTGACATCTACGGTTGCTTTTAACTGTTGTTTCAACAACATATTTTAATATGTTGTTATTTTCTGCTTTACACCAAATTTGTCATTGAAATGCTGTAGATACAATAGTTATATATAACCACATTTCAACCAAATTTAGCCCACTTTTAACCCAGAAATTTGAAAATCTTTGATCTGCAATTAACATTTTAAGTAGTGTACCTTACTTGAGTATTTCCATTTCATACAATTTTTTACTATTCAGATTTTACATACAAAACATGTAATCATCCTATAAAATATTTTGATTGACAACTACCTACAGTATAAAGTAGCCAATGTGGTATCCACATTGAATTATTATCAATAATAATTAAAAAATATTAAAGAGAATAGTATAACTCTCACAAGGGCCTTTTCTTCTGAATTATGAGTATTTTTACTTTTGATATTTTAATGACATTTTGCTAATAATACATTTTCAGTGCTGGACTTATAAGGCATCATTTTTATTTTGCAGTGTAACCACTACTTATTGCAGTATTGCTACTTAAGAAAAGGATGTGAATACATCCTTCACCATTGGAAAGGTCCTTCACTCAGGGGGCACTCCTGGGTTTGTCTCTTGACTAAGTTGACTTCAGTCTCGAATAAATCCTGCCCAGAAAATCTCTGGAACTGTCTCCTTGAACTGAAGTAAATAATAAAATGGCCATAAACAACAAAAATGAAAATACCTCAATTTTCAAGT